ATAGTACAACATCAAAACGGCCCGGACCGGAAACTACTAAAATACGGTGAGGCTTGGCCCAGCGGGGTTCGGCCGCGAACATGCACTGAATCTTACAAAAGAAATTGGTGCTCCCCTTGGCATGTTTGAAACAGTAGGAGTGCTGGCTTCAATTGCTATTACATTAGAGGTAGAAAAGTAACAGATTAAAGCATTTTGGAACTTAGCCAAAAGCAGTGGCAACTTCTCGCTTTTATGATTAAGCTGAACGCTGTGATCTGAAACAGTCAATTTTCATTTTGGGCAGATGTCACAATGAATTGTGTTTCAGAAGAAGTCTCAGTACAACGGACCGGAACATAACGCCAAGTAGCAGCACTACTAAGAGCAATACTTCTGGCAAAACCGCCGTAGAAATGCCGTCGAATAAAAAGCCGGGACGTGCCGAGAGGGGCAGTAAAAGCGACGACCTTGCCACTGACGCACTCAAGCCGGAATCTGGTAAAGACAGTGCCCAAACCTCACGTCACAGTGGTAGCGCGAAACCAACTGATTCGGATAATTTAGTGGTAGATACAGGTCAGAAATTACCGGCAGAGGTTGCTCAGAAATCATCGGAGGATCCTACAGTAGTGGAAATTCAGAGATGCACGGCAGCCGAACGTGACCCACCTTGTGAGCATGGTGGTTGTTCAGGCAAGGATAACAGCAAAATGGATAAATCTGTAGCACAGAATTCGGAGAAAGATAAGAAGTCTTGCACGGAAAAGAAGCGTGAATGCAGGAAACCTGGGAAGAAAGTGTTGCCCCAGTCACAAAATATTCAGATTTTGGAAAAGGAAGGAACCTCACAAGTGTGTAAAAAGGAGCCGGTAAAGGAGAAAAAGCAGGATGAAGGGAAGAAAGCAGTAAAGGAAGAAAGGAGAGGAAGGAAAAAAAAGATAACTGAAGAAATGGGCCAAGATAAGATAAATGTAAAGGAAGAAAAAGGAGGAGAAAAAGCGGGAAAGGCTACTGATCAGCAGGAGGAGAAAGAAACGCAAAAGAGGGAGCACGATGTGGAAAAGAAAGGTCCGAAGCGAAAGGATGATTGCAGTAAGCAGAAGGAAATAAAAAAGAAACCAACGGATACCAAAGAACGGCCAGGGAAGCAACCGCAAGATAAGGAAAAGGTGAAGGATAAAGAAGAGAAAGAGAAGGGGAAAGGCAACAAGGTGCATTCAAGAAAAGGAAAGATGGAGGAAAATAAGGAGCATCAAGAAAAGGGAAGAATGAAGAGCGGCAAAGGACATACTGAAAGAGCTGAAATGGAAGGTGATAAGGAGCCAGAAGAAAAGAAAGGACGGAAAAATGAGGAAGACGCTGAAAAGGAGAAAGAAAAAGCTAGTAAAGAAAAAAACGAAAAGGAAGAAGGGGAGGAAAGGGAAGAACTAGAAGATCAAGGACACCCTGATAAGAGGAAAGTGAAAACCAAGGGGCAGCAGGAGAAGAAAAAGGAGTTGAAGGATAAAAAGGATTTGAAAGAAAAGACAAAGGCTCAGGAGCAGCGTGAGAAGCAGAAGGAATTAGCGGATGAAAAAGGCAATTCGGGAAAGAAGGCGCCAAAAGGTAGCAGGAAGCAACAGGGGAGTGAAAAGGAAAAAGCGGAAGATAAGAAGAGGCCTGTAGAAAAAGAAGAAATTAAAAGCATTAAGGAGCAGCAAAAAATGGGGAAAGAGAAGCCGAATATTGATAAGGTTCACTCAAAAAAAGGGGTGGACGGAGAGCGCGAAAGAAGTACATCAAAAATCCGACGATCTGTCGAAAAAACCGAGATTAAACGAGGAGACAGCAGGGAAGATTTGGATATAGCTGAATTGGTGATTAAGAAGGGTCCAGGTCGTAGGCGGAAAAAAAGTTTGGATATTAATGAACTAAGCTATCGCAGTATAAGCAAGGATCGGCGTGGCAAAAGTATGAGTTTGGATCGGGAACATGGGATACCGGAAAAAGAACAGAAATTGAAAGAAGAAAGGAAACGTTCGGATGTGCTGGCCGGTGAGGTACACGAAGAAAAAGAGTCAAAGAGTGATGAACCTCATTCTGATACGCTTACAATGAAAATGCCAGGCAAAAAGATGAAATGTGATAATGGTCTGTCGGAGCCATGCTGTAGCTCTCAGCCAGGTTATTATCTTTTTATGCATTTTTTGGCATCTATGCAATGCAAAAACATATATTTTCGAAGTTTTGAATACTTGGGAAACA